ACTGATTTAGCCCATGGAACATAGTTCTCCCCATTCAGCTTAATTGAGGTCATTTGTACCCCTAGGTAGTCGGGGGAAATTACCACACTAGGTTTCTGATCACTGTACCCATCTCCTATTGCTGCCATTGTACTCTTTCACAGTTGCCTCTAACCTTACTTCTCAGCTACAAGTTGATTGATGTTGTTCACAGTTTGATACTTCAGCATCTATTGCAGCCCCTAAACACAACAGTGGGAACACACACTTGTTCTTATTCACACAACTGCTGACTTCACACACCTACGACCCACGTAAGCATCAATTTACCACTCACTAATCACAAGTAGGCCCTCTTACAACCACTCAATAAAAAAAAATTGTGCATCACAAGCACCATAACACAGTCAAATATGCTACACCCAGTTCAGACTTGTTTAACACACTTAAGAGGGCATTACACAACCACAAAGAGCTCGGCAAGGTCACTACATTCCACCTTACACCACTCGGCCACTTACAGCAGCCCTAACACCACTCAACAACTCACAACAGCTCTACACCATTCGGCTACTGCACACACAACCCTTTCTAGGGCAACAATGAACCTAGTTCTCTAGGTTCCAATCAATACTCTAACAACTTCTTGTAGGGTTTCTACCCAGAAATATCAGTAACACTAGAAGAGGAGATACGACCTTCCTTTGAGAATATCAACCAACCATTCACTGCTGAAGACACTTTCCTTGCTGAAGAAGGTTATGCGCAGCAGAGAGAGATGAGCTGTGATGTTTCTGACCTAGGGCGAACCAGTTCTCTCCATTGACTGACCAGAAACGAAGGAGAAGAGTCACGAACMMTKCTGAGGYGCTTTACCAACTGAAGTAGGTCAGGAGCATGGCTCTGATACCATGTTTCGACTGGTGCTATAGTAGTCCGAACCAGAAAGAGAAGAAGAAGAAGAAGAGAAGAAGAAGAGAAGAAGAAGAAGAAGGGTCTGTCGAAATCTGATGGGCTAACCATACAGTTGACCCCCTTAATCTATATTAGACTCTAATCATCTTTACAAAGACAGAAAAGCCCTTACTTAAGTGTGGGGCAGAGTGACTCTAATAACACTGCCACATAAGCAAGCTACTTAACAAACATAAGAAGACTAAACTACCCCTATTCGGCACACTTTAACAGAGTGGTTCAATGGGTGAAATATTTGGATCTCTTTGTTGAATTCTCAACAGGTAACTTTATGAGAAACTGGAAGGAAGTGGCTGGTTCAGATTGTCATACGTCTACTACAAGCCCTTATGGTCTCCACTAGCTAATGGCTACATTAAGCTTAACTTTGATGGGAGTAGTGCAGGTATCCAAGGCCCTTCTGGAATTGGAGGTGTTTTTAGAAATGGTGGAGGCAGAATTATTGGTTTATTCTCAGGCCCAATTGGTGTAGGGGACTCTTTAAGGGCTGAGAATATGGTTGTTATGGGGGGAGTGCAAAAGGCAAAGGATATGAGATGATTATAGAAGGTGATTGAAAGCTGGTAGTGGAATGGCTGCAATAGGAAGAAGCTGGATTCTGGAATTACAATAGTGAAAGAAAGAAATTCAAGTGGCTGACATGAGATATGGATGTTAGATTTAATTGGGTTAAAAGAACTGTTAATGCCTTTGCTGATTTTCTAGCAAAACAAAGGGCGAGAAGAAGTCAACTGTTTTGGGCTCAATTGTAATCTCTTAAGTTTTTGAGGAGAGTTAAGAAAGTTTATCTCTCCTCTTTTTTGTATTCATTGTACTTGATAAAAAAAAGAAAATTGATTTAAAATGAGAAAAAACCTATAGATTTAATCCGAAAAAGCAAAGAACAAATAAAGCCATATATTTCTTATGGATAATTTTCTTATCCTTTGATACTGTGTTTGGTTGCAAAGGAAATGGAAGAAAAGAAATTATCAAAAAAAAAAAAACAAAAACGAATGTAAGAAAAGAAAATATAATTAATTTTATATAGATTTGTTGATGAGGTAACCAAAATGGAAAAGAAAGCCAAGAGAAAATAGAATGTTCAAATTTCTTTTTGATCTGCTATCCATAAAAGGTAAATGAAACTAAGGAAAACAAAGGAAACATGCGAGATAGAAAATGAGGTCCATTCTCTCTCTCTCTCTCTCTCTATATATATATATATCCATCTGTGTGTGTTACCTTTGTTTTTCTTGTATCAGAAATAGAACAAAATCCTTAGGCTTTGAGGAGAAACACAGAAAAAAGAAGAAGAAAATGATAAAAAATTAGGACTTATTTTTTCTTTTTTCCCACTCTCTCTCTCTCTTAAGTATTTTATTAATAAAAGAATTATAGGGTAATTGGAATATTGTGTTTGAGTTATTGATGACCCAGTCAGTCGTCTCAACATTAATAAATTTAAAACATTGTTTCTTTTCATGGATATGATGATTCATCATGTTTTTTATGGAATTCATTGTTATTTAGTAAACAATTATGCTATTCAATTTATATGCTTGTTGGTTGGTCTACAAAACTAGGAAACGAATCTAGAGTCTAGTTTTTTTTAGGTCAAAACAACTATGTAATACCTTGTTATCAATCCCAAAAATGAAAGTGATGGCTATTTTGAGTAAAATGTTGAAATGTAATGACCATGAGGGACATTGGGAGTAATTGTGGTTCATTGTGATCATTATTGACTAGCTTTAGTGGTTTTCCTCCTTTTGCATTTTCCTCTTGTTTGGTTGAATAGCCATTGTGTTTTCTTGTGTAGCTAAAAGCTAAGATGCGATTGGAACTCTTGCATTTGCTTTATGAAATACTTCATATGTAAGTCAGTTATCTATCAAGAGAAAAAAAAAGCTTTATATGTAACTATCTTATTTTTATTGGAAGAAAGTTAACTGTTGTTGTGTTTGATTCTACATTCTTGACACCTTTTGATTCAGAGATAAAATTATTAGGGATCAAATATGTTTATGCTTTCATATTTGCAATCAACATTTTGTAATTTCTAAATCCAATCATACTTTGACTGACAAGGTTTGGTTTTCCAGACCATGATGTAGTTGCATCGTTTAAGTTGGAAAAATCAGTGTCTCTGCTAAATGCTAATATTCTGGAGCTTGAGCATAACATTATCGACGAAATAGGTGTTGCCGACTCTAAGGTAGACAAGTTCCTACTTTCTTCCTTCGTAGTCCAGTTTCCATGTTTCCTACTCTGATCTAACATGTTGACCAAAACCAGGTGGTTGTTATATCTTTAAAATCTTTGGCTGGGTCAAACTCAACAGATGTGGTGTTTGCAGTGGTGCCCTACTTGGAAAATTTGAATATATCTTCACCTGCTCTCAGTTTACTCAGATCTGTTTTTGAAGAATTGGTCATTGATCAAACACCTCTCCATTTGAATTCATCATTGTTTGGTGATCCATTTTCCTTTGAGGTGCTAAAATTTCAAGGAGGAATTACAGTTACCCCACAGCAGAATGCGTTTCTATTGCAGAGAGTTCAGATATTTTTCAATTTCACCTTAAACTTCTCTATTGATCAAATACAGGAATATTTCATTGAGTTAAAGAAACAGCTGAAGTCAGGGTTGCATCTTACTTCACATGAGGTTTGCCATTTTATCAATTTCATGTGATTCTATTTGTGCTTATGTTTGCCTCCCTCTCTCCCTGGTAGTTGAATGAGGGTGGGGGGAGAGTATTTCTGTTTTAATCCATGTTTTTTCTGTTTACCAAAAGCAATCTCCCTTGTAGCTAGGAAAATATGATCTCCCATTCTTGTTCAGTGAATTCTGGCCACAGTTATAGAAGCACCAAAAGAAAAATGCAGATGCCAAACTAAGAGAAGTCTAGTGAAGACTTTTAGTTGAACAGTTAACAGTGGACCATGAAGACCCAAATAGAGGTTTATTTTATTCTCTAATTAACTGGATTTCAGTGCAAAGGCCTGATCATACAGTCGTCAGAAAAAAAAAAGCAATCATGCCTTGAATCTCTATAGCTGGCTGTTTCTGATTTAGTGGTGTTGATTCAACCATGTGGGTTTGCAATTTTCACAACACCATTGATGTAGGTCTCTGCGTACCTAGACAAAGTAGAGATTTAATGTGAACTGATGGGCCCCTTTCTTTTTAATACCTTCTTCACCTAGTGTAACTTTTTGACAGCCCTACCTGCTCCAAATTATACATATTTCCTTGGACAGTGGACTGGGAGGATCACATTTTGGGTTCAGCCCATACAGCAGCTCTTCCTAAGCCCATTTCTGATCATTTTCACTTTTTGGTTTCTCAGTTGTTAGTTGGTGATAGACCTCCATTTTGTTTTGAGAATATGTGGTTGTCTCATCTCAGATTTGTGGATAATTGTAGGTTTTGGTGGCAACAACTGGTTGTTGAAGGAAAATGTTTAGATTATGGTTAAGATGGAGGAAAGGATGTTAGGAAGATGGGAAAGATAGACGAAATGATGAAGCCTTCAAGCAGGCAATGTCAAGTTGAATCAAGGAAAGTCCCACCAACAAGATGAAGCCTGCGGTGGTTGAAGCTTGGGCTGTCCAGGTGAGCTTAGTTGGAAGACTAGTAGGAAGGGAGATGGATGCATAGAAGGTTGAAGCTTGGGCAATCATGGAATGGGGAACAAAAAAGGTTATGGGTGTGCTTCTTCTGTTCATGTTTCACAATAAGGAGCAAGGACATGGCGGACTGGGCTCTGGTTTCAGAGAAAATCTAAATCTAGACAGTTTGATCTTTGGTTGGGAAGATGGTATCTGGCAGAAAGGACAATCAGCAGTGGAAAAAGAAGTGCAGTTTGGATTGGAGTGGTTGGCATTCCTCTGCACACGTGGAGTGTGCTTACTTCCAAGAGATTACCAAGTGCTGTGATAAATTTCGTGTATTTGATAACAGGAATCAGACTTGGGATAAGTTGGACTCGGGAAAGATCTTGGTGGAAGTGGAAGATGTATCCTGCATTTCAAGAACAATGAGACTTTGGTTTGCAGGGGAATGGTACAGCCTCAGGGTTCTTCTGGAAGTGGAGGATAGGGTAGCCTTATACTCCTGCAAGGTCGAAGCTTTGGCGCAGGAAGTGGAGGTCAATAGGGAGGCTGGGATTGCTAAGGAGTCCAAGAGTTCAACATTTGAGGAAGTCTGGTGAACAGTCATGGGGATATCGAAGTTGAAGGAGAGCAAGTAGAGATGGGCAAAAAGGAAAATTCGAAGGGGTGGGGGCAAAAATGTCCAAATGAAGACATGTGGGGGAGGTTAGGCGCTGAGTGGAGAAGCGCAAGAGTCGGTCATTGCGTTAGATTTTTTTTTTTGATCAGTACCAAGAAAGATTTTATTAATAGAGGAAAAAGATTGGGCAGCCTCGGCTACCCCATTACAAAGAAAGGCATTACAAGATAGCACAACAGTAAGTATGACTTAAGCATTACAACTGAGCCCAAAAACACAGTTCCCTGTTAACCCCTTGCCTTGCTAGTTGATCTGCAATATTATTAGCCAACCTTGGGACCCACTGAAATTCCACCTTTATATTACTTAACAATGTTCTGACATTTTTTATCTCATTCTGAAAACACCATGGGGCTTTTTCGGACTGTTTCAGGCAACTGATGATTACTTTTGAATCTCCTTCTACTATCAATTTATTGACTCCTATTTTAACAGATCTTTGTATCCCAAATGCCATAGCATTTCACTCTGCTGTTACCCCTGGGCTGAGAGGGCAGGAATATAATCCCAAAATTGCTCCACTACTATCTCTTATCACCCCTCCTATTCTAGAGGGCCCTGGATTACCCAAATTGCTTTCATCAAAATTTAGTTTAAGGAAGCCATTCACCGGTGGATCCCACGATTTTATCAGTTTCCTCTTTGAATGAGATGAAGCTGCTATTATCTTCCAGTTTTCTGGTTACATCATCATGACTAAAGTCTGAAAACAGACTTAAGGTCTTAACCCAGTGTGCAACCTTTATCATAACCCCTCTATCACAGCTTACTTCTTTTCTTTTCCTCAAAAATTCTCAGGTTTCTTTCCTCCCAAATGGGGAACAGGTTGTTGGCGGTTCAGACTAATGAAAAGGTTTCAATTACTCAAGGAGGAGCTAAAAGGATGGAATAAGGAGGTATTTGGGGAGGTGGTTTCTAGGGGCAACTAGCTTTTGTGAGGACCTTTGGTGGGGGATTCTTTGAGCTCAAAATTCCATAACTTTTACTCTTCTCTCTACAAAACGAATTTGTTTCCCTTGTGTTTCAGTTTTTGAGTCTAGTTTTAGCTTGTGATCTTTTTTTTTTGATCGATAACGTTTTAGCTTGTGATCTTGATTGTAGGAGAATCAAAATTGTTCCCATATAATGCCTCATTCAATTTACATACCATTCCTACATATTCCCCTTGAGCAACAAACCTAGGTGGTTTCTCCATACATGCTGTTGTACATATTGCATCAAATCTTGTGTTCCATGGGAGAACTAAACATATTGAAATTGATTGTCGTTTTATCTATGTGAAGACTCAGAGTGGAGATGCAGATACCCCATTTGTGAGAATTGAAGGACAATTAGTAGACTTCTGTACAAAGGCATTATATCAACCTTAGATTGACCATTTGTAGGACAATTGACCCCCAGAGGGGCTGCATTGTGTATCTTCTAGCGAGGGATCAGGTCGTTGTAGTTCTCTATAAGTTGGTAATCTGAAAGAAAATCTTAGGGAGGGAGAGAGAGAAATGGAAAAAGAGACTTCAAAGTTAGTGACAGGAGCTATATATATTGAAGCCGAACACTAGTAAAAGCCTTTTGTACACTTAACTAAGAACACAGAAAACCTATGACTTTGTTCTTGACTGAAGCTACACCATTATATTTATTGTCAAAAATCCAACTGTTCCTTTCCTTCCAAAGAGCCCATAGGGTAGCAGCTGGAAAAATCCTCCAAAGCAGTTTGCCCCTTGTATTCAAACCCTTGCGACTCCACCCTTGTAAAAGCTGAAGGATTGAAACAGGCGGACAAGAACAAAAACCAAAGCAAGACCAAACCATTTCCTAAGCTGATGAGAATTACTGCAGTGGATGAAGATATGATTAGATGATTCAGAGACCTCATTGCAAAAAGGGCACAAGATAGTAGGAAGATGTGTCCCCCTTCTGAGCAGTGAATCTGAAATTAGGCATTTATCAAGAAGAAAGATGCTTGACTCAGTTCTCATTGCTAATGAGCTTATTGACTCAAGAAGAAGAGAGGGAGTTCCTGGCTTGGTTTGTAAATTAGATATTGAAAAAGCTTATGACCATTGTCAACTGGAGATGTCTTGATTTTGTGTTGCAACAGATCAACTTTGGGCAGAAATGGAGGAATTGGATTAAAGTTTGCATAACCTCTCCTAAGTTCTCAGTCTTGATAAATGGACAATCTGCGAGGTTTTTTGACAGTCCAAGGGGTTTTAGACAGGGTGACCCCCCTCTCCCCCTTGCTATTTATTTGTGTCATGGAAATCCTTTCCCTTTCTTGCAAGAAGGCAGCAGATTCTGGTTGTTGGGAAGGCTTTGCAATTTCTCCTTGGAGGGAAAAGGCCAATACTCTCCAATTTGCAGATGATACATTATGCTTTGTTGATGCCTCTCCTGTTCAGTTGGAACTTGTACTTGGGATCTTAACATGGTTTGAGGTGGTTTCTAGGCTTAAAGTTAATTTGAACAAAAGTCAGATTATTCCAGTAGGTCAAGTTTCAAATTTAGAAGATTGCTGAGGTGATGGCTTGTCAGATAGGGTTTCTCCTTATGAGGTATTTGGGACTGCCCCTGGGGGAAAACTTGATGTGTATTTGCTACACTAGCAAGTGCACTAGCCGCACAAGTAATAGAGTGATGAATAGAGTATTGTTTCCCACGAGGACTTATGTAGCAACTACTAGTAGTATATCTTTTTTTGATGAATAATAATAAGTTTATTGATTCAGAAGCAAATTTAGAGTGAGTTCATACATCATCCCAGCGAGAGGCGCGAGTTGCAGCCCCTCCTTGAATCTTACAAGTAAACTAGGAAAGAAAAACAAGAATCACAACTGAGCCCAAAAYAATTCTTCCCTATTTACCCCTTGCTTAGCTAACACATCTGACAAAGTATTTGCTGATCTCCCCACCCACTGTACAGTGACCAACATATTCCTTGTCAACCAACTAAATTT